GGTGGAAACATTACGTTTAAACGGTTAAAATGTCAGTTCGTCTCACAAGTTTTCAGCGACACGGTAACGTTCGCAATGTTTATTCCACAATGCAATCGTGGAATGTCGCTTGACTACTCAACTTCCTCTGGATGTACTGATCTAAACTTACGTTGGTAGTAGAAATGCACCGTTCATATTGCCCCATATTGTTTATGTTAAGAACAGATGTATTTAAAATAATTCAGAGAAGATATTTAATCCGAACGTAAACCGTCATCAAACTGTTATCATTTGTTTTTTTCTGGTAACATTCGTCTTAACGTAGGGGGCAGACACATCAATAGAACAGCGCGCCAGTTAGCCCTGTGCGAGGATTCTTAATTTAGGTCACAGACACCGTCGTTTGTTTTCTGCCTTAAATTAATCGTAATTATCCTTAGAAAGTATTAAATTTGGCATCTTAGAAAAGAAATACAGTTCGCCCTACCACCATGTATAGTGTAATAAAACACACTTTCGCCCTGAACTATTATAACGTTAAAGCACTCGAATGACGCAAGCGTCCTCTTGCTTTAACTATAATAGTTCAGGGCAAAAGTGTGTTTTATTACACTATACATGGTGGTAGAGCGAAGTGTATTTCTTAAATGTGCACATTTATCGAGTCATTCCTGTGACGTCGCGGAAATGAACCGAAAGAGTCGAATAGGTCACGGACAATCACGAATGCTACGGGATTTTATTCTACGGACAATTGACGAATGGATCCGATGCCATTTGACACACTCGTCCCATTCCATAATCTACAAATTAACGTGTGGCGTGGAATGAACCGATATGCCTCAAACTGAAAAGGGTTGTTGACGTCAGGCGTCAGACGTAGATTTCACGGTGCATGCATAAATGACGCGCTTTTATATAAATCGGTGATTTTGTGACAGAAAAGTGATGTAGGGAACACTGTAAGGATAGTGTGGATCGCACTAAGGAACGAGGGAGACATGAGCATGTGTAGTGACGGCACGAGGGTGAGTTAGCCTTCGAATCATTATTTTATGTTGCGTGTGAAAGAGGCTTGAGTGCAAATTCCAGGCCAATTTCCATTAGCCCAAAAGTTCTACATTAACCCATTTCATAATGTACTTTCGACGTTTTTGGTTTCCCGTTTTTGTGTGAAAAAAAAGTATTAAAATGCAAAAAGGAAAAACAACAAATGGTACTCACGTATTACACCCGACATGTACCTGCTATATTGGATTAGGTCCCTAACCCTTACCCTAAACCCTAAACCCTCAGCCCTCACCCTAACCCCTTGAAATAATCCTAATAAATAGAATGCATTGACCGAACCACCGGACATGTATATACTATATTGCATTAGGTCCCCAACCCCAACCCTAAACCCTAAACCCTAAACCCTAGCCCTAGTCCTAGCCCTAGCCCTAACCCCAATGCCTTGAATTAATCCTAATAAATAGAATGCATTGACCGAACCGGCACAAACACGACTGACGTGTCTAGTGTAATGCATTATTACCGCTTCGAAAAATAAAATACTAATAAAACACTTTTCTATGTAATGGTGCAAATTACTGAATGACAAAAATATATATGTAAATTACAAAATTACAAAATACAAAATACACAAAACATAACACCTCAGCAGCCCGCAATACAAATAAATATGAGCGTATAAGTGAAAAAAGAAAAATATTTCAAACTGGTGCTTGCAAAATATTGCGCATCCGCCGGTATACAACTACTGGAAACTCTCAACATCGTTGGGCCTATGCAATGACATAGCTCGTAGAGATGAAACGGAGCGGATGAGCGGAGCTTATACGCACTCGCTGAGCCAGACAACCGTGTTGCCATGCAGGCGTCATAGGGCATTGTTTCGAGAACGTGCTTTCGAACAAAATCACATTACATTACGTAAAAGGGTATTATGACGTATTTTTTATAGTTTGTGGTGCTGTATTCTAAAGGTAGGCCGATGTTTATCGACATTGTAAACACAAATGTAAACCAAAAGGTCCACACACGTTTTTGTGTCTGCACTCATTGACATAGAGCACGGGTACAGCAGTGAAATGTCATCAGCCGGCCGTTTCGGCTATCTTCCATGGTAGCATCTAGAACTGCTCATTTGTGACATCATTCGGACTTTACGTCACAATATGATTTGAATGACGTCATCTCAGCTGACGACGTAACAATACAATGGTGTGAACGATGTTTGTATGTATTAATATGCAGCGAATTTCCCGTAATCGAATACCATTTGATCACGTTTTTCAACCAATCAGATTAAAGAACACAGTGACTTTTGGTTTACAATACTGCTTAGAAAGTACTGAAAACTAAATGGTACATATGGCCTATAATCACTGATTGAGACACTAAACATGATTCATTCCAATATTTTCACACTGCATATGCCTTTCTTAATGGTGTAATCTGAGAAAATGTAAAAAGGGTGAAGCATATAGAGATTTGAAGTCATATTAACAACTGACACATCTATCCGAGCAGACCTATCGAGGATCTCAAGTAGAGAACGTATTGCTTATTGAGTCAGTGGGTTAGGACACATGGCGTTCATCGCTAGTCACGCCGACGACAACCGGGTTCGAACCCGCCACTATAAAGCCCATTTCTGTTTTCCCTGCCGTGGTAGTGCTGATATATTGTTAAAAGTGGTACCCCTCTCACAAACATATAAGATAATCCTTAATTCCAAATATTTCCTGTTCACCAATTTATGAAGGCTTCCTACATTCCGACTCTGCTCGCCACATTAATCAGGTGAGGATATTTAAGTTTTAGGACATGTAACTCATAACGTCCCTGATCCGATGCTGCTCATGCTTGAAGACTTAATTTTCCTCAAAATCAGAGATCTCTTTACAATGTACCACATCAAAAAGAAGAGCGCCGAGGTGGTCGAGGGCTGGTTGTAACTTTGTGTTTATAATGATTTGTATGTTTGTCTGTCGCCTACAGCCGTACACAGAAATATTCCACCTATTCATTTTCACACTTCATTTTTACCCGTTTTCACGAGAGTTTCAGTGGTCATTTAATAAACTTTCAGGACAAAAAGGGGGAAGGGGTGCGCACCCTGCACATATATTCTGTCTGGACCAGTCAATCCAGTGATTGACAGCATGAACATCGATCTACGCAACTGAATTACGGAGACATGTGTCAACCAAGGCAGCGAACCCGGCAACCTGATCCCGCTGGTCGCCTCTTAGTGAGCCACCCGTGAAGATCCGGGTTAGAATTGATTTACAGTATCCCATGCTTGTCGTAAGAGGCGACTAGCCGGATCGGGTGGTCAGGCTCGCTGACTTGGTTGGCACATGCCATGGGTTCCCAGTTGCGCAGATCGATGCTCATGCTGTTGATCACTGGATTGATTGACTCGAATATTTACAGACCGCCGCCATATTGCTGGAATATTGCTGAGTGCGGCATAAAACTAAACTCACTCACTCACTCTTAGTGAGTCGACTGAAGACCAATTATGTATATGTGATGTGGATCGCTTTTCTTGACTCGAATATTTACAAACAAACGGTATATATCTGGAATATTGCTGTGTGCTGCGTCAAACAAAAAACACCGAACAAACAAACAAACAAACAAAAGCATTTGCTCACACTGACCTTTTGACGGAAGTAACGAGTGGTTTGACAAAGCAGATCAGATTGAATCGGGGGTCCTTCTAGACACCATGTGGAACTTGACGAAATCCCTCGATTTCCCCGCCCATGACCACCTGGTGTCCTTAATAAAGAACGAGACCCGTGACGATCAGGGTTAAAATTGGTCTTCAGTGCATGAGTATTTCAGCAATATCACGGCGGAGGACATCAGAAATGGGCTTCACACATTGTACCCATGTGGGGAATTGAACCCGGGTCTTCCGCGTGACGAGCGAACGTTTTAACCACTAGGCTACCCCACCGCCCCTTGGACAATTGTGGCAAAGGACAAATGATGCTTCATTATACAAAGCTGTGTGTTTACAACTGATAGTAAATAAAAGCTTTTCTTGCATAGAAGCCTATCTAAGTTTGTTTACTTTATGTCTTTCCGCTGTAACGTAATAGATCCTTGTGTTGTTAGTACGGTTCGATTTCTTTGTTTCTTTCTTATCTGTTTGACTAACTGACACTTTGAATTCAACAGCTTGTACTGAATACTGTTTGAAAAAAAAACCCACTGCAATATTACACGGCTAGAGTGGGCGCGATTCTAACAAAACGAGCGTAGCCCCATTTTGTTCCAGTCAGTTCCGTAAAATCTGAATTCAGTTCCGTTTTGGTAGCAGGGAAATTCGAAAGTAGATGTTAAAAGAAATCCGCACCATAATGGTATGGTATGCTGCTGGTATGGTATGCTGATTGATTGATTGTGTGTGTGAGGTTTTACACCCGTCTTAGCAGCAAAATTCCAGCAATATAACGACGGACGGGGGACGAAAAAATGACTTCACACATTGTACCTAGATAGGGAATTGAACCAGGTTAAACCACCACCATGATGCAGTTTTTCGCAGTTTTGGACAATTTCCAGCTATGAGGGGTGCCAACTTGATGGGGCACGTAACCCCGGAGTGATGCAGTTTTCAGACGTTTATCACAAGAGCAAGGCAAATGTGAGAAATCTACAAGCAACATCGGCGCCACGACTACAGATTTCCGGTGCGTAGACGACGTAGTAATGAAAATTATATATCCACCATTAAAAATGAACTCGTGATCAAGCAGATGACGTCAAATGTTGTTCTTAATCACACAGGTATATGCTAGTCAGGTGTTGGAAATATAGGAGGCAAACATGTGATTGATAGTATGAACATCGACCGACGTACACAGGGTCAGGTTACGATGACACATTACTAAGTCACTCATTGTGATCCCCCAATCCTGAGTTTGGCCTGTTGTCGAATTCACTTGTTGGTGTTGCAACCAAGAATAGCAAAAACAGATGCTCCGTATGTTTTGTCAAAATTGCGCGCTGTACCTCGTACTGAGTAGGTGTCACACACACCGTCGCGCATCTGAACTGTGTACCTAGCAGACACGAGCTATGGAGCTGGTTGCCACTTCGTCGGGTTGTTCAACTGTCAAGAAAATGCGGGCAGATGCAGGTCAGATGTGTTGAAATTTCTTGAAATATGCCGTTAGCCATTTTTCAGCTTGTACTTTGTGTATGTGTGTGTTCGAGCCGGCCAATATGTGTTCAGGCATGCTCAGGCGTGAACTGACTGACTTCCAGTCACCGTGACAACTAGTGAGATAAACATGTGCAGACGCATTGACATGCTGGCTGACTGACTGACTGAGGTTGGTTTTTACGCCGCTTTTAGCAATATTCCAGCAACATCACGGCGGGGGACACCAGAAATGGGCTTCACACATTGTGCCCATGTGGGAATTCGAACCCGGGTCTTCGGCGTGACGAGCCAACGCTTTAACCATAAGGCTACCCCACCGCCCCTTGACATGCTGGCATCCAGACAACCTGTAATATAGACATATTGGCATCTAGACATACTGATGTCCAGATATTTTTACCTCGGGGCGGTGGGGTAGCCTAGTGATTACAGGGGTCACTCGTCACGCCGAAGGCCCGCGTTCGATTCCCCATATGAGTACAATGTGTGAAGCCGATTTCTGGTGTTCTCCGCTGCGATATTGCTGGAATATGTTAACAGCGGTGTCAAACTAAACTCGCTCCCTATTCCGATCACCGGCCACGCTGACATCTTGCCACACCTATATACCTCTAGCTATGCTGGGATCAAGCCAAACTGATCTCTACCCATGTTGGCATATACTCATAGCGAAGAAGCATATTCTGACCCTGAATATCCAGACAACCAAATATATCACCAGAAACACTGAAGATATATTAGCTGAAGTTCAGTTAGAGTCTGTCCCGAGAGCTGCATGTCAATGGTTGGATCCTTTGGTCGCGTCTTTCCGAAAAAGGATCAAAGATGGTGTTCATTGTCGTCTTCTTCATATATAGAATATGTTCAGATATGGCAACATGCTACTTAAATGACAGCATGCTACTGACATGCTGACAACATGCTATTGGCATGACGTGCTGTTGACATGCTGACAACATGCTATTGACATGACAACATGCTATTGAAAAGGTACCATACAGTTGACATGCTGACAACATGCTATTGACATGCCAACATCCTACTGACATGCTGACAACATGGTATTGACATGACAACATGCTATTGAAAAGGTACCATACAGTTGACATGCTGACAACATGCTATTGACATGCCAACATCCTACTGACATGCTGACAACATGCTATTGACATGACAACATGCTTCTGAAATGACAACATGCTACTGAGAGGGTGACAGTATGTTAGGAATAACAGGTTAGGAATAACGATAACAACATGCACCTGACCTGTTAACTCTTAACTCTAACGACATGAAATGACATGCTAACGACATGCTAATGACAATATCGTGTCTCGGAGAAGGTAACGACATGTTTACAACCTGCGACACACTAACCGTTTACACATGCTGAAGCAGCATAATCATGATATCCTTCCTTTCCAGCCAACAACCTTCAAGTGCAGGCCCCCGTTGTTTTGTCTGACGGTCAAAACGTTTACAACATCCAGGATTCCACCGTCACCCTCCAGGAAACAAAATGTGGTAATTACCAAACTGACTATGGATACATTTCTCATAATATTCTCATATTCCTTGCCATAAATAGTTAAGCCATCGATAGTGACAAAAATCCAATTAATTTTCCTTCAAACTGTAGAAAACATGAAGAACCTGAAAGTACTCCAGAAACGGTTCATTTAATGTAAATTATAAACACATTGTACAAATGATTATATGTATTCACTCCAGAAACACCAATCTACCCTTTACAGAACATCATAGGTAAGTGTAACTAATGAGTGAATGAGGGGTGAGTGAGTGAGTGAGTTTAGTTTTACGCCGCACTCCGCAATAGTCCCTCTATATGGCGGCGGTCTGTAAATAATCGAGACAATCCAGTGATCAACAGCATGAGCATCAATCTGCGCAATTGGGAACCGATGACATGTATACCAAGTCACCCGATCCAGTTCGTTAGTCTGCTCTTACGAAAAGCATGGGTTATTGAAGATCAATATTCTAACCCGGACTTCACGGGTGGAGTGGGCTTTTACATAGTTTAATTAATACTCCACAATTATCACGGTAAGGGGGGTGGGGTGTGTGGGTGGGTTGGTGGTGTCACCAGATATTGACTTCATACATTGATCCCATTTGCGACATTGACCGTTATGACAGAGGTAGAGACAGCATCGTCATAGCATCGAGCGATATTACCTACACTGCCTACTTAGGCTGAAAAGAAATAGAATTTCATTGGTTTATGGTACAACATATTTCAAGTGACCGTCAAGGCTGAAACTGATGTATCTGAAGCTGGAAATGGACGTTAAATACAATACGACAATAAGGCACTGCAACTTCATTGCCAAAATAAAGTTGTAATTGCACGAAGTAAAATTGTCGTTCACAGTATTTTCCTTATTGCAGTACTGATTTGGCGTCCATTTTCATGGTCATACCGTTTTAATTCATGTCAGCCATGTTGGATCTGGGGTCCACATTACATACCTTGTTATTATAAGTTGTAGGCTTCTCTCGAGAGTAATACGGTCTGATGTACGCCTTTTTGTAGCAGTGTCTTCCCTCGCCGGTCTGATGTACGCCTCTTTGTAGCAGTGTCACCCCAGCCGGTAGGCGAGGGATGACACTGCTACAAAAAGGCGTACATCAGACCGTATTATCCGAGGGAGAACCATACAACGTATTTATCTTACCGCCATGTTAAATGTACAAAACATCATGACATGCAAACAAAATGGCGCCTGCCTCTCGACTGGATTTTTAGAATCAGTGAAACATATTCTGACAAGCTTAAAACTGCTATAAAAATTGTTAATTATGTTTAAGTTGAGTGTGCAAACCACTCAATGTATAAAATAGCTTAAATAAAGCAGTGAAAGTCAGAAAAATAAATGTGTACAAAGTGAACACAAAAACAGCTGATCGAACGGTTTTCGAACTCCGGGCATGGCATGCATCATATTATGACGTCATACGATTGTTAGCGCTTCCGCTTCTCGGCGGAGAGTTTGCCGGTTACCGTGGCAGCGGGTAATATTTTTTCCAGTTGTCACCCTCCTGGGAGGGGTGACACGGAAACCGGTTAAAGCGTCTTTGACTAATGAAATTTAAGTATTTTACATGAAGGTAAGATAAGAGACAGTGTTATATGTTGTGCAACAGTGTTACAGCTGTTACGCATTGTATCTGTGGATTTAGTATGGGGCTGTTGTGTGCTTATATAGACTTGTGATATATTTAGACAGTTCTAGAAGCTTCCGTCATATTCTGACCCACAGAATGTTATAGAATGATCTGGAAAGGGATGTATAGGCCTTAGTCCAGAATCATCCGCCTGAAAGAGGTATATACGGGGAGCTAGCTATCTTAAGCCATAGAAGACCACCATTTTGTGTGATCACTCTATACTCTGGGCCACTCTCTGTGTAGCCCTTTCTTTCAAGCTGAATAACTGTTGCTGAGAGGGCAATATTAACCTCATTGTCTTTATGGCTATAATCACTATTATTTTGTTTTTTTAAGTTTATTACCTTTGTAATTGTACTTACATATTGATACCTGTATCTTAAGTTGTATTGATTTGTGAATTTAGTTATTTTCAGAAACACAATTCTGTTGCTTGTTGGTTTCAAACCCAGTTCTTTTACTTAATATTAACTTTCAGTTTGGCAATCAAAACGTAACAACAGTCTTAGCCAGGTATTCATATATGTATCCCTACTGTTACATAACTAGTATGACAAGTTTGGTGAAAAGAATATTCAGGATTACATCAATAATAATGTCTGTGCAAAGGAATATCCTGTCTCGACTATCCTTAGAAATAGAAGGAAATATCTAAACTAGATCATACACCAAACTCCACACATCCAGTCATTTTACACAACTCAAAATTGTGAATTTTGAGCATTTCTGGCTTCCATCCTGGGTTTGACCGCCATATTAGAAACATATGGGAGATAAAGTATCTTAAAAGAGAAGTATCATAATACTTAATATATGAACAACTCTCGGCCTTACGTTTAGAAATACCTAAAAGTAATGAAAGGTTTGGCGACCATATCGGAAAAGTTTTGGTGACAATATAGCCTGAGATGGAGCATCCGTCTCCCAACTTTCATGCTTTTTAGTCAATAAGTGGACGATTTAGTCAATAAGCCTTCTCTCTCTCTCTCTGTGTAAACAAAAACTTCTGTTGCACTTTTCAACATATTTTCTCATATCAGAGTAAAAGCTTGTTTTCGTACATTTGTTTTCGATAATAGCTCCAGCAGGACTCCAGTCCTACAATGGCGGTCATTTGACCCTAAAACCCAAACTAATCACTTAATATAAATATCGTATTGTTCCAACTTTCATGCTTATAACTCAAAGTGCACAGTTGTGCTCTATATTGAAACTTAGCCGCTGCCCTTATAATATTTGGAGATATTAAGGTGGTGGTTGTGAGATTGCGATACATCATAGATTACTGAAAGAGAGCCTTAACGTCTTTGACATTCTACAACAACCAGGTGATGATATATTATCAGTAGTTAAGGAGTGCATTCTTAATTTCCGGCTGAGGACGTTAGTCAGTGGACTTTCAGTCTCAGTTTCATGGTGCAATGTGCGCGAGGTTTCAGTGACCCGAAATAAGGCCAATATCCCGGAATATAACGTCTATCTGTCAGTATCAACGTGAAAGTATAATGTGACGGTGCATATGGTATGTGTTTTCCCACACAGGAAGAAATGTCATTGCACATGGCAAACACACACACAAACACACACCACCCCCACCCCCCCCACCCCAATGGACATTGATGACTTCAACACTTACTAACGGAATGGGGTAGTCAGCCTCGTTCACTTGGTTGACACATGTCGTATGACAGTTGAGTAGAGCGATGCTCATGATGTCGATCACTGGATTGTCTCTTCGAGACTTGATTATTTACAAAATGATGATGGGGACAATGACTTTGACCCCATGAAACGTGGTCCGTGTTACTTTATTTGGTTCAGTTGTGTATTTTAAATGTCTGGAGAACAAATGTCTGTTTACCACAACATATCACAAAAGAAAAATCTTTAACTATAATCTTCTCGATTTGATCATGAAAGCTTCCTTAGATGCATGCCATTGCATTTTAACATCTTCTTTGCTTCTATTTTCAGATGCGACAGAAATGCTGATGAAATGTGAGGATCCTGACAAACATGTATCAACCTATGCAGAAAGGACAGCTTTGAAGCATCTGAAAAACACTGGATGTGTGTTCATCAAAGGAAGAAGTGGTACAGGGAAGTCTAGGGTTGCTCTCAGTCTTTTATCGCAGATTGAAAAAGACACAGGAAGAATACCTTTGGTATTGTCCTTTCCCCAACAGTGGAAAGACGTCCCGCTGGGGAAGTCTAAAGGACAATATGTGGTGCTAATTGACGATATATTTGGATCCTCCAACCTGTTTCAATCCCAGGTAGATGATTGGAGTAAGGTGCTGAAAATCATGAACGCTGTAGTAGAGCTTGGCAACATCTTCCTGGTGTTGACCTCGAGGCCAGAGATCAGTGCACAGTGTGAGAAGAGGATGAAGAAACACGAACTGTTTAAAAGGATCAAATGCGTCACTCTGGATGACGGCGAGTTCTCACTCAGGGTTTCAGAGAAACAGAAAATCATGGAGAAATATTTCGGGAGGAAGGTAAGGCTATCAGAGGAAGACATGAAACAAATTGCAGAGATGAAGACATCTCTTGGTTTTCCCCAGTGTTGTGCATTTTTTGCATCAAACAAACTTCCATCATCAAGAGCTGTCAGCTTCTTCCGCAGCCCCCAAGTTTGTGTCAAAGAAATTCTTGACTGTTTGAAGGAAAATGAGCCACTGAGCTACTTTGTGTTATTACTGGTGATGATTCAAAAAGGGTTCCTTGACCACAAACTCTTGAAATCAAGAAAAGATAGAAACCTCAGTGGCGTGGTAGCGGATTTGTCCACATTCTGTGACATTCCAGGTCCTCCAGGGTATGGCCAGATCGCAAGTAAAGCTGCTACTCTCTCTGGTGTTTATCTCCTAAGCACACGAAATGGTTTTGAATTCCAGCATCAGTCAATATACGATGCAGTTTTCCTTGATCTTGCTGGTGAGGACCCAGAAATGTGCATCAAAATTTGTCCTGCACAGATGCTCGTTGAGCTGGTGAGGACACAAAGTAAGGAGACTGAAGAAGAGGGAGTTGTGATTCTCTTGACAAAAGAATACTTCGAGATCCTTGCTGACAGAATTACAAACATCCTTCTGTCAGAAGACGGAAGTGAGATCCTGAATCACCCCTCATTACTTGACGAAAACTTTCGACCATATCTTGAGACAAAATTGGAGCGAAGCGTATGCGAAGACATTGGTAAAAGAGAAGTGAGTGCTTCAAGCATCACATACTACCCCGACATTTGTAATATGCTCGTCCCTCATGTTGTGTTCACTTATACATTCCTCCTTTCACACATGGTGATGAAGCAAAGCGCGCTGGCGAAATACATTCTATTGCAAAGTTCAAACATTCCAAATGCTGTTTTGAAAGAATTTATGATTTGTGCTATCTACCAAAGTCACAATGAAGTCATTAACTTGCTGCTGGACAGAGGGGTTATTCCGGATGAAACTTGTGTGAAGGCACTTTCAGCCTCCCAAAGCATTGATGAAGCAACATCGTCTCGATTGCTTGATTTGATATCAACCGCTTTGGAACGATTCCAAGAAAGAGAAGATGTCTTGTTCTTGGCGTCTCTGAATGGAAACGTGGAATTGGTTCGGAGAATCATAGACGCATCTGGAGATGGAAGTCATGAGATTTGCTCCCATGGTCTTTCTGCTTTGTTCAAGGGGATGGCAAATAATCCAGAATACAACAATGTTGAGTGGTGGCAGAGGAAACGCCAGAGCCTCGAGGAAATACTCCAGTTACTGTTAACTTACATCCCAGAGATGGAGGAAGTTTATAAATGTGCGGGACATGTATGGCCAGTAGCTATGAAGATGCTGATAGAAAAGAGCACATCTCACAATGTTGATGTCCACAACTTAAAGAACTGTCTGCAGGTAGCATGCGAGGTCGGAGGAGGCGAGTGTGTACGCATCATCTTGGAACATCTGACCGTTACAGAGGGCACGTATGACAACATTGCAGACTGCATATGCCTGTCTGCACAATCAGTCACAGACAGCTGCCTAAAAATTCAGTTGTTGATGAATTATATTGATACGTTTTGTGCGAACATTGGAAATGTTCCATCACACAGCCAATTACTGAACAGGATATTTGGCACGTTTACACTATTAACTACAGCGTCCGAACTCGGTAACCCCGACACTGTGAAGATGCTGATACAGAAAGGAGCTGATGTCAATCTGGAAGATGGTATAGGCTCTACACCTCTTCATACGGCTGTGTGTTGGGACAATTTAGCCTGTGTTACAGCTCTTCTTGAAGGTGGAGCCCTTGTAAACAAACGTGTACCAGGTTGTGAGCCTGTCCTTTTTGCTGCAAAGAGGCTTGACATAGTTCAGAAGCTGGTAGCTGCTAAATGTGACATCAATGCAACAGATGAAGATGGGAGAACAGCTCTACACACGCTGGCCACATCTAACAACTTTGTTGTTCTTAAATTTTATTGAACAAAGGATGCAACGTTGATCAGAAGGATGAGTACGGCATCACAGCGTATCATTTGGCAGCACTGTGTAGCGATCTGGATATACTGAAATATCTGCATAAAATGCATGCTAAGCCAACAGTTGATGTTCACGGATGGTCAGTGCTTCACTACGCTTGCAGGTCCGTCAATGAAACAATGGAAAAGGTGCAGTTCCTGGTGGACACTGTGAAGGTGCCAGTCGATACAAGAGACGAGGATGGAAGAACGGCACTGTATCCAGCAGTGCAGAGAGGTGATGCAGAGGTGGTGGAGTTCCTGGTAGAAAGGGGGCTGAGTATAAGGGACAGGGACAAGGATGGCAACACATATCTACATGCAGTATTTCAAATGTCCATCCATGATGAAATGCTGACGTTCCTTTTCAAGGCCAACTTGGCTCCAGACTTGTACAACACACGTGATGGAAGAACACCACTGCATCTGGCAATAGATTCAAGACTAAGGTATTTCTCTGAAGACCATTTGGTCACTTTGATTGACAGAACTTCCAATATCAATCACAAAGATTCCGAAGGAAGGACGCCTCTTCATATGGCAGCATACCGTGACGCCAGTTGGGTTGTGAAGCGACTCCTCGGAAAAGGAGCTGACAAAGAGATAAAGGATTCAAAAGGATGTAAAGCTATTGATTTGGTGCCTGAAGATGGAAGTGGCGAGACGAAAGCCCTTTTGTGTCCTGAAATACCGACCCCTGAAATTGTACACAGCGGACAGGGTGCGTCTCCAGAAGACTAACTTACAGCAAGCTACGGTTATAACGAACCCAAGTGATCACGTATTCTAGTTCGATATAACCGTAGTTTCTTGTACGCAGTTCCCCGGTTGTTGTAGCCGTACTGCACTGTACTTTGAAAAGCATCAAAGAGATTCACACTAGTGCAACGCTACAAAATCGGTACAGAAAAATATATCATCAGACTTTTGTCAATTCAGCCAGTGAACATTTGACATTTGTAGCTTGACAACAGAAATGAAATGTTAACTTTGATTATGGGACAAGCATACGCAAGCAATGTATTCATAACTTCTTTCTAATGGTCATGCTAGTTTCAAGTGCACGATACAAATTCGAAAATGGACTTACTGGTCCAAGTCGAAATCGACTAAACCGAACCATCGACTAAACCGAACCGAGTGTAGATTAAACATTGCCCAGGCATTATTATGCACATACACGTGTCCCCACCTCCAGAGAGAACAGCCAGGAACATATTTGTTCAGTCGTATCCTGGTATCTCGAACAATGTGGGACCGGGTTGTAGCTTCGAGATATCCTGGCGTTCCAGATAACGAGACCTGATCAGCTTCCTTCCCCGAAGCTACTCCTCGGTAAACAAAATAAACCCTTCCTCCTCTTCATTACAAACAGGGGCGGTGGGGTAGCCTAGTAGTTAAAGCGTTGGTTCGTCACGCCGAAGACGAGAGTTCGATTCCCCACATGGGCACAATGTGTTAAGCCCATTTTCTGGTGTCCCCCGCCGTGATATTGCTGGAATATTGCTAAAAGCGGCGTAAAACTAAACTCAGTCAGTCAGTCAGTCGTTGCAAACAGATACGAGTTTCTAAACAATATTCATATATAACTAATCAACTTTAATCTCAAATATTGTTCTTACAATTCACTTGTCTGGGGATACAAAAGTCTGACGCTTCATATTGTTTTCAGAGTATTCATTTCAAATTCCACCAGGTGTTAGGCAACAGGTATATTACAGCTGAAATAAAATGATAGCTTAATTGTCTATTCATGAGAAAAGAAACCCATTTGCAATTCTTAAACCGTATTTATAAGATTCATACGGGTATATAAGGTGAACAGTTGGTATTAATTACGGTAAAATATGTGTTTAACACACCATCATCAGCAGCAGCAGCAGCAGCAGCAGAATTGTTTGAAACAAATAATAATCCTTTAAAAAGAAACAATAGGACACTTTAACTGACAGGGACATAATGGTTTTGAATTCTAAACTTCAACGTTGAATTGTGTTATTATATCTCAACATCCAGTTTTCACTCTTTGTACATAGGTGGCAATTAAATATTGGTATATGTGCTTTACACACGATCACTATGTTGTTAGTTGTTTCCTTTTATAGTTTACGAAAACCATTAATTCAATACATTTGTTGGAATTCTAGATCTTTTCCCAATAATTGAAGGAACCCTGTCCGAATAATGTATTCCGCCTATTTCACGGGGTTGAAACTGTTTTAATGAACACAACCGCCTCCGTGGTGTAGTGGTTAGAGCGTCCGCCCGGAGAGCGGAAGGTCGCGGGTTCGATCCCCGACCGCGTCATACCAAAAGTCGTTAAAATATGGTACTTGTTGGTCCCTGCCTGGCGCTCGGCATTACTGGGTACAACAAGGACTGGTCGGCTCGGAGTCATTATAATGTGTCTGAGTGGGGTATTCATGCTTCACTGCAGCATGGTATCTCAGTGGGCTAGCACTATAAAACCAGTTTAAGTCTGGGCTAGAATAAGCAGTCGCACAAACATATACACACGCATGCACGTCGTCATATGAGCGAAATATTCTCAAGCATGACGTTAAACCCAATTTCACCTCACCTCACTTTAATGAACTCAGCAGGGGAGGTAACCACAGGAGGCAAATATAACAGTGAAACAAGAGCAACATTCCAGCTATGTGACGTCAGCCTGTTACAAATTGAGTCTGGACCAGACAATCCAGTGACTGAAATCGTGAGAATCGATCTATGCAATTGGGATTCGATGACATGCATCAACCAAGTCAGCGAGCCTGACCTTCCAATCCAGGTAGAAGCCTGTTACGACAAGCATGGTTTGCTGGTGACCAATTCTTTCCCGGATCTGCATGGGTTCTCACCTTCGATTACGTATATTCCGTAATGATATACCAGGGATATTTTCAGTCACGTATAACTGAATTAATAAAAAATCAATTAGGTCACCATAGTAACGCGCACATACCAAGTCAACGGGGCAGTGGGGTAGCCTAGTGGTTAAAGCGTTCGCTCGTTACGCCGAAGACCCGGGTTCGATTCCCCTCATGGGTACAATGTGTGAAGCCCATTTCTGGTCGTGATTTTGCTGGAATATTGCTAAAAGAGGCGTAAAACCCAACTCACTTACTATCAGCAACCCATGCTTGCTACAAAAGGCGACTATGCTTGTCGTAAGAGGCGACTAAGGGGATCGGGTGGTCAGGCTCGCTGACTTGGTTGACACATGTCATCGGTTCCCAATTGCGCAGATCGATGCTCACTCATGCTGTTGATCACTGGATTGTCTGGTCCAGACTCGATTATTTACAGACCGCCGCTATATAGCTTTAATATTGCTGAGTGCGGCGTAAAACTAAACTCACTCACTCACTCACTGTCAAGTCAACACTCACACAATGGCTCACTCACTTTATCACGAGCAGATCCTCAGAAAACTGGAAACATATTTGGATGGAACCGGATACGAACAATGAATAACGTTTTTTCAGGTTGATATCAAGGTATGTTCAGCATGTCAACTCAACAAACATATCCATTGTACAATTAGGTTTATTCAGTAATAATCAATCAACGTTTTGGATCAACTACAAAGCAGGAAATAATATGATCATTCAAATATTCATGTTGTAACATCATCAAAATATATTTTAAAATTACGTCAACGACCTCCAAGTTTTTCTAAACATCAGTCATATCTATATCAATTACACAATTGACTTCAATGACTACATCGAGTGTATTTTATTGAGAATTGTTCTTTCTGTTAAATAGATAAATCCGTGAAATCCGAAGCATATTCTTACTGCACTTCCATTTATTTACTCAAGAGTTAAAGTTCATAAACGTATGAACAATATACAAAGGAATATAATCCAGGGATATCAGCTACGTAACTGCATGAAGCCAAGAGACAGCGCCATGTCTTCATCCTTGCTTCTGTTCCTTGTCGATTGTCCCAACCTTCACAGTTTTGTCCTTCTTAACATCGATGAACTACTTTCCGCTGACGTCAGTGTAGGTCCGACATTCCTTTATAGTTCTGTTGGGTACCTGGAAAATAGTATACCGTGTAAGCATGTATCTCACCGTGGTCAGTCTCCAGTACACCGTGTAAGCATGTATCTCAACGTGGTCAGTCTCCAGTACACCGTGTAAGCATGTATCTCAACGTGGTCAGTCTCGAGTACACCGTGTAAGCATGTATCTCACCGTGGTCAGTCTCCAGTACACCGTGTAAGCATGTATCTCAACGTGGTCAGTCTCCAGTACACCGTGTAAGCATGTATCTCAACGTGGTCAGTCTCCAGTACACCGTGTAAGCATGTATCTCACCGTGGTCAGTCTCCAGTACACCATGTAAGCATGTATCTCAACGTGGTCAGTCTCAGTACACCGTGTAAGCATGTATCTCAACGTGGTCAGTCTCCAGTACACCGTGTAAGCATGTATCTCAACGTGGTCAGTCTCGAGTACACCGTGTAAGCATGTATCTCAACGTGGTCAGTCTCGAGTACACCATGTAAGCATATATCTCAACGTGGTCAGTCTCGAGTACACCATGTAAGCATATATCTCACCGTGGTCAGTCTCCAGTACACCGTGAAAGCATTATGTATCGCCTAGTTCAGTCTATAGAACTGCATATAAGCACAATATCTCACCGTGCTAGTCTACAGTAGTGCATATCAGCATAATATCTCACCGTGTTCAGTCTAGAGTACTACATGTAAGCACTACATCTCACCTTGTTCAATCTTGAGTACTACAGGTAAACACTACATCTCACCGTGTCAGTCTAGAGTACTACAGGTAAGCACTACATCTTACCGTGTCAGTCTAGAGTACTACAGGTAAGCACTACATCTCACCTTGTTCAATCTAGAGTACTACAGGTAAGCACTACGTCTCACCGTGTCAGTCTAGAGTACTACAGGTAAGCACTACACCTCACCTTGTTCAGTCTAGAGTACTACAGGTAAGCAGTACATCTCACCGTGTTAGTCTAGAGTACTACAGGTAAGCACTACGTCTCACCGTGTTCAGTCTAGAATACTACAGGTAAGCACTACATCTCACCTTGTTCAATCTAGAGTACTACAGGTAAGCACTACGTCTCACCGTTTCAGTCTAGAGTACTACATGTAAGCATTACGTCTCACCGTGTTAGTCTAGAGTACTGCAGCTAAGCACTACATCTCACCGTGTTCAGTCTAGAGTACTACAGGTAATCTCACCTTGTTCAATCTAGAGTACTACAGGTACGCACTACGTCTCACCGTTTCAGTCTAGAGTACTACAGGTAAGCACTACGTTTCACCGTGTCAGTGTAGAGCACTACAGGTAAGCACTACACCTCACCTTGGTCGGTATAGAGTACTACAGGTAAGCAGTACATCTCGCCGTGTTAGTCTAGAGTACTACAGGTAAGCACTACACCTCACCGTGTTCAGTCTAGAGTACTACAGGTAAGCACTACGTCTCGCCGTGTCAGTCTAGAGTACTACATGTAAGCACTACATCTCACCGTGTTCAGTCTAGAGCACTACAGGTAAACACTACGTCTCACCTTCTTCAGTCTAGAGTACTACAGGTAAACACTACGTCTCACCGTGTTCAGTCTAGAGCACTACAGGTAAACACTACGTCTCACCGTGTTCAGTCTAGAGCACTACAGGTAAACACTACGTCTCACCGTGTCAGTCTAGAGCACTACATGTAAACACTACGTCTCACCGTGTTCCGTCTAGAGTACTACAGGTAAGCACTACGTCTCACCGTGTTCAGTCTAGAGTACTACAGGTAAATACTACGTCTCACCTTGTTCAGTCTAGAGTACTACAGGTAAACACTATGTCTCACCGTGTCAGTCTAGAGCACAACAGGTAAACACTACGTCTCACCGTGTCAGTCTAGAGCACTACAGGTAAACACTACGTCTCACCTTGTTCAGTCTAGAGTACTACAGGTAAACACTACGTCTCACCTTGTTCAGTCTAGAGCACTACAGGTAAGCACTACGTCTCACCTTGTTCAGTCTAGAGCACCACAGGTAAGCACTACGTCTCACCTTGTTCAGTCTAGAGCACTAAAGGTAAGCACTACGTCTCACCTTGTTCAGTCTAGAGCACTACAGGTAAGCACTTCGTCTCACCTTGTTCAGTCTAGAGCACTACAGGTAAGCACTACGTCTCACCTTGTTCAGTCTAGAGCACTACAGGTAAGCACTACGTCTCACCGTGTTCAGTCTAGAGTACTACAGGTAAACACTACGTCTCACCGTGTTCAGTCTAGAGTACTACAGGTAAGCACTACGTCTCACCTTGTTCAGTCTAGAGTACTACAGGTAAGCACTACGTCTCACCGTGTTCAGTCTAGAGTACTACAGGTAAACACTACGTCTCACCGTGTTCAGTCTAGAGTACTACAGGTAAGCACTACACCTCACCGTGTTCAGTCTAGAGTACTACAGGTAAGCACTACGTCTCGCCGTGTCAGTCTAGAGTACTACATGTAAGCACTACATCTCACCGTGTTCAGTCTAGAGCACTACAGGTAAACACTATGTCTCACCGTGTTCAGTCTAGAGCACTACAGCTAAACACTACGTCTCACCGTGTTCAGTCTAGAGCACTACAGGTAAACACTACGTCTCACCGTGTCAGTCTAGAGCACTACATGTAAACACTACGTCTCACCGTGTTCCGTCTAGAGTACTACAGGTAAGCACTACGTCTCACCGTGTTCAGTCTAGAGTACTACAGGTAAATACTACGTCTCACCTTGTTCAGTCTAGAGTACTACAGGTAAACACTATGTCTCACCGTGTCAGGTCTAGAGCACAACAGGTAAACACTACGTCTCACCATTGTGTCAGTCTAGAGCACTACAGGTAAACACTACGTCTCACCTTGTTCAGTCTAGAGTACTACAGGTAAACACTACGTCTCACCTTGTTCAGTCTAGAGCACTACAGGTAAGCACTACGCACTACGTCTCACCTTGTTCAGTCTAGAGCACTACAGGTAAGCACTATGTCTCACCTTGTTCAGTCTAGAGCACTACAGGTAAGCACTTCGTCTCACCTTGTTCAGTCTAGAGCACTACAGGTAAGCACTACGTCTCACCTTGTTCAGTCTAGAGTACTACAGGTAAGCACTACGTCTCACCGTGTTCAGTCTAGAGTACTACAGGTAAACACTACGTCTCACCGTGTTCAGTCTAGAGCACTACAGGTAAGCACTATGTCTCACCTTGTTCAGTCTAGAGCACTACAGGTAAGCACTACGTCTCACCTTGTTCAGTCTAGAGTACTACAGGTAAGCACTACGTCTCACCGTGTTCAGTCTAGAGTACTACAGGTAAACACTACGTCTCACCTTGTTCAGTCTAGAGCACTACAGGTAAGCACTACGTCTCACCGTGTTCAGTCTAGAGTACTACAGGTAAACACTACGTCTCACCTTGTTCAGTCTAGAGCACTACAGGTAAGCACTATGTCTCACCTTGTTCAGTCTAGAGTACTACAGGTAAGCACTACGTCTCACCTTGTTCAGTCTAGAGCACTACAGGTAAGCACTACGTCTCACCGTGTTCAGTCTAGAGTACTACAGGTAAACACTACGTCTCACCGTGTTCAGTCTAGAGTACTACAGGTAAACACTACGTCTCACCTTGTTCAGTCTAGAGCACTACAGGTAAGCACTATGTCTCACCTTGTTCAGTGTAGAGCACTACAGGTAAGCACTACGTCTCACCTTGTTCAGTCTAGAGTACTACAGGTAAGCACTACGTCTCACCGTGTTCAGTCTAGAGTACTACAGGTAAACACTACGTCTCACCGTGTTCAGTCTAGAGTACTACAGGTAAACACTACGTCTCACCTTGTTCAGTCTAGAGCACTACAGGTAAGCACTATGTCTCACCTTGTTCAGTCTAGAGTACTACAGGTAAGCACTACGTCTCACCTTGTTCAGTCTAGAGTACTACAGGTAAACACTACGTCTCACCTTGTTCAGTCTAGAGTACTACAGGTAAGCACTACGTCTCACCTTGTTCAGTCTAGAGTACTACAGGTAAACACTACGTCTCACCTTGTTCAGTCTAGAGTACTACAGGTAAACACTACGTCTCACCGTGTCAGTCTAGAGTACTACAGGTAAACACTACGTCTCACCGTGTACAGTCTAGAGTACTACAGGTAAACACTACGTCTCACCTTGTACAGTCTAGAGTACTACAGGTAAACACTACGTCTCACCTTGTTCAGTCTAGAGTACTACAGGTAAGCACTACGTCTCACCGTGTACAGTTTCGTGTACTGTGGGTGATGATGCTCATACACGGGGTCGTTGCTGGCTTTGTTGTAGCAAGGGACTACTAATTTTAGTTTGTTATACGCATTTCGACTAGCAATGCACATTGTCATCGGGACAAAATAAAGTTCGTTAAATCCGTCAGTTCGTTGTAAGCGTGTTGCTTATAGAAGCAGTTTACTGTGTATGACCCAACACTGGAACCAGTCAAGGAGTCAGCTTACATTACGAGACCGGATGCTTAGCAACGGTTTACAGGTCGGAAATGTGCTATTTGTCCTTATCACACATGGCTGGTACCTGTATAGTGAGTGAGTTTGGTTTAAAGACGCTCTTAGCAATAATCCAGTGGTTTCTGTAGCTTTGAGGTTGAAGTGTTAGCTCTTCACTAAAGAAATTATATTAGCCCATGTTTGATGTCGCAAGCGGAAAATGGCAAGAATAGCACAAAAGGCCTGGTTTTACTCATTTTACACAGCTACAAAACAGGGTATGTAGTAGTCTTATATATTTCCGCAACGTCAGCAGGAATTAACGTAATAGCATCAACGGTTATCTGATTATGCAAAGTATTCGCACGCGTGATTTTACAAGACAACTTCAGTTATACTTAAACCCGGAATTTTCAGACACTGATTTGATACAAAAGTTTCTAAGGTTAATATCGGACATCAATGTGGTGCTGATAAAGACGGTTAATCCACTTCTCCCGTGATACACCCCGCATGTAGGGCGGTGGGGTAGCCTAATGGTTAAAGCGTTAGCTCGTCACGCCGAAGACTCGGTTTCGATTCCCCACATGGGTACAATGTGTGAAGCCCATTTCTGGTGTCCCCCGCCGTGATGTTGCTGGAATATTGCTAAAAGCGGCGTAAAACCAAGCTCAGTCAGTCAGTCAGTAACATGGTAAGATATGCAGTATGGGTGCTAAGGCCCGGTGTATCATACTACCTGATTTTGATGCTATCTCTACATTTGGCCTGATAGTCCAGTACAATTAGTGGTAAAAATCACTGAACCTCAATAAAATTGGTACAGAAATGGTTTTGTGTTAATATCGTTTACAACAGTTATGTAAACAATATATAAAAATTCTTCCCTTGGATGTTGATGCTTAGTGCTTTTGGGGGGCCAAAACTAGGGAAAATGGTATTTTTCAATTACATGTATTTTAGTTTAATCTGAAAATAAGTCCAGAAAATGGTATAAAATCTTGCAAAACATACCACTGAAGCGTACAAAGTAGTAAATAATGAAAATTAAAGCTGAAAAAAAATTATGACATGAGGTTTGAACTTTGATTTTGGACACTCCAGAACACTGGAAACAACTAAATGAGAGTTATCTTCCCTTTGTTTACAATAGCTAGAAGTAGCAGTATGGAAAGGAAAGCTTGTATCTTTTATAAAATTCTAATTACATGAGGCTATAGTTAGCCTAATGGATAAAGGAATAAAATGACAGCTAAATGCTACAAATAAAAGAGATGATGATGAGGACTGAGGTGGTTATGCTCCCATAATTAGCCCACAGAACTATATGCACTGCTGTCGTGTAAGACTACGCACCTTGGTGATATATGGGACATTCTGTATCAAGATTTAACAGAACTTCAAGAAACATATGCCAGAATGATAGATTACGAAAATATGATACCATTTATATTTTCTATGCTATTAATTTTAAAACAATTATAATAGGTGATTGAAGGATAAGTTCGTTCACTTTTAACTTTAACTGGCAACTACAAAAAAAAAATACATATTATTATTTGAGGAGAGTGCATGAGTATGTTTCTACGCCGCTTATTCCAGCAATATCACGGCCGGGGACAATAGAAAAGGGCTTCACACATTGTACCCAATTGGGGAATCGAACCCGCGTCTTTGGTATGACGAGCGAACGCTTTAACCACTAGGCCACCGCCCCTTATGTGAGCAGAATTGAGTGAACCCTTGCAAATGTTTATAGTATAACTGGTATGTTTTTATCTGATTTGAAATCATTGACAATCATTTGAAAACGGACTGAAATCTTCATGAAAAGAATTTAAACTGATTCACATAAATAAGATATAACACATATTTTTACTGAAAAACATCTTTTTCTTAAAATTGGAAAAATCATTAACTTAGGCTCCTTGTAGTTAGTGAGTTTAGTTTTACGCCGCACTCAACAATATTCTAGCTATATGGCGGCGGTCTGTAAATAATCAAGTCTGGACCAGACAATCCAGTGTTCAACAGCATGAGCATCGATCTACGCAATTGGGATACGTTGACACCTGTCAACCAAGTCAGCAAGCCTGACCACCCGATCCCATTATTCGCCTCTTACGACAAGCATGGGTTGCTGAAGATCCATTCTAAACTTGATCTTCGCGGGTGATAGGCTACTTGATCAAAGCTCTATAAAGGTTTTGAAAGCACAACCAGTATTGTCCTTTCTACTGCTAGTACGAAATTTTACAATATTGGTATTTTTGAAACTGAAATAACTAATGGACAAATAATTTAAATATGTCAAATACTTAAATAGAAGGTGGTTCATGCTTGTTTATCAACCATCCTTAAATTTTGCTCAGGAAACGAAAAGATCTCTGACTGACACAGGGATGACTATATATCCCATGGTATTACATGTCGTTGGGGGTAACTGTCATGAAATCTTGTACAATTTGATGTACCGGAAAGTGGAAAACTATTGCAAGCACCGTTGAACCAAATCGCCCAACCACATCTCAAATATTCAGGTTAACCTGAACACAACCCTTCAAATTATTGGACTTCCTTTACTCAGAATATCTTCTGTTACTGTTAAGGTTTGCTTGGAATAGCATTGTCACCAAGCATGATACTCAAAATTAATTCAAATATACAGACTATGAGACCAAGGGTATCTCTGTCAAGCCCTTGGTGTTCAGGGTCACCATTACTATAGTTCAAGCCAGCAGATATGATAAATAATATCTTGTTCATTATTTCAATCTCTAGTTACAGAGGAAGGAGCTAAGTGCAACGCTTCCGAAAAAGGGTGTACACAGGGTCAGTTCATTCAATCTGCAACAGATAGTGTAGATCAGTCTGAGAACATGGATTAACGCATACCGATGACGTTTTTGCCAATTAGGTGACTGTTTGTCAAGAATGATGTGCTAAAAGGGATGGGGTTCATATGTCCTGGGTTCATATGTTACGGAGATGCTGAATCAAATTGCTTGATGTCTTGAACGATTCATGTGGAATATAAAATGAGTCGTAAGACTATCATTCTCAGTATTGAGTTATGTCACCTTCGTGCCTATGGTCAACCTGAATCCCAGACTCAAATCTGTATTTGCTCAACTTACGTGTTTGTGAGCGGCCAAGACAAAGACGTACAATGTCGGTACACACTTCGACAAGCCACATATATTAGGTTAACCAGAGTCAAGTTATCTACACAAATTCATATTCACGTGGAAGTCAGCTGGTTGTATTTGGCAGAAATATCTCACATAGGACACTGTAATGGATTTACTGTGAGAATTTGTCACCCATATGTTAACATGGAAGTTCCGTCAAGCATGATCTGGCCCGTGTACTTCAATCGGTTCCATGAGGTTACAGCAGAAACATATTGATGTGGATTTCAGTCTATAGCAATAAATACACTCTTCTTTTAGTAAACCTAAACCTAGTGTCATGGACAAATACCTGGAGAGCAAAGGCACCACTTAGTTTCTGAATTGAACTCCTATTGGCTTTAGATATAGCCGTTACAAGTATACTACCATTGACAAAGTCAAACGTATTGCCAAGGAAACAATAAATACACATTTCAACATCTTAAAATAGCACAGGGCTCAAGTTCATAACTTGATCTCTCTCTCTGTTCAAAGTTTATGAATGAATACTCAAATCATTTCTGTACCAATTTGAATATATATATATAAAGGAAAATTTGTGTCTCAATATGAGATTTAAGCAATTATTTATTGTAGATTTCAATTTTTAAACATTTTACCACCACCCCAAAAAATAGGACTTAGCATCATATTTCAAGGGAGGACTTTTTAATACTCATTAGTCATATTTTAAACATGTTGAAAACACTCAAATCATTTCTGTACCAATTATTTGGAGGTTTTGTCACATTTTGACTGGACTTTGAGAGTATTTGTTCATTAACACGAAGAGATTAATAATTGAAACCCTTTATACAACATTCATTAACACGAAGATAATAATCCTTGAACAATTCGATAGATTTATTAAAGCTTATACGAAATCCCTTTCACAGATGAAACCCATTCCAGTTGTATGGAAAGCAATGGCCCACTGCCACCCGCCAAAGGTGGGGTACTTGAATGGGTTGTGCAGAAGAACTCTCTGGTCATAGTTTTGGGTGGCCGGTTGCCCTGGACCCCAGGTTGTGAACGCGGCCTTAGTCATGTCCACCCATATCCACTCCTTGGTAGCTGTCACGTAGACTCCCCCTGTCCAGTAGCCCTGGGCTGGGTGGTAGGTAGCTGCAATGGGAAACATAAAATGGGAATCACGACATGTGAAACACCTTTCCTCCTTTTCCCTCATATCCACTCCTTGGTAGCCGTCACGACCACTCCTCCCGTCCAGTAGCCCAGGGCTGGGTGGTAGGTAGCTTCAATGGTAAACATGAAATGTGAATCATGACATGTGAAACACCTTTACTCTTTTTCCCCATATCCACTCCTTGGTAGCCGTCCCGACCACTCCTCCCGCCCAGTAGCCCAGGGCTGGGTGGTTGGTAGCTTCAATGGGAAACATGACCTGGAAACATTTTTACTCCCTTAGAACTATATCAATTCCTCCCGTCCCGGGTTGGGTGGTGTGTAGCTACAAAGGGAAACATGAAATGGGAATCACGATATGTGATAGATGAAATATGAAACATCCGTACTCCTCCATTCCAGCAGCCGGATTAGGAGGTGTGTGACAACAATGGCAAAAATGAAATGTGAAACATGACAGCGTTGATACATTGGTCCTGTAGCTTTAAGTAAGGTGGTCTGTGGCTGCAAATGTGAAACATGACGAAAGCATATGACAACAAAGGATGTCCACAAAGTCTTGGCTGTCACGGTCACCCTTTAGGTTCAATATCCCCGACTTCTGGAGAATATTTTGGTTACTGATGCGTAAAGAGTTGGAAAACTCCTCTAAACATTCTACAACAAAAAACTGGAATCTTTACTTTGGCCTAGATTCCTGCAACCCTTATCAAATAATTTTGAATCGTACGATGCTCTTTGAAATGTTGGTAGAAAGATCAGATTGAAAAAGGTATGCTTTGCATTCCAGATTATGTCAATTACACAGCCACGTGAATGTACGCATGAGGCCGCTTATACACGGTCGGGCTGTAGGTTATAAGGCTAACCTTCTGAGATAGAACGACGTAGTTTAACACTGGTACCCCATGTAAACACAGTATACCCACTCCGACTCAACTAGTCCTTGTTTTATCCCCTTGGAGGCAAGGCAACAACAAGTACCATCTTTTGTTTTAGACGTGGCCGGGGATCGAACCACCGTCCGGCAGAGGCTCTATCGAGTAAGCAACAAGGTGGTCCTTTGGTAGGACCATGTTCAATTGACATCAATGACACTTTCCCTTGCATGCTTACCTTGAGTTTCATTCAGTAGGTTGGCCAGGAAGGTCTGCTCCCGACTGGTGTGGATGGATACCAGGTCGGACCCTCGTCTTGCACAGTCCAGTCGAGCAGCCTCCCACGTGACCGTCCAGTTGGCCACGTAGTAACAGCTGGAGGGTCCGGTAAGAAATGTAGGGGGGCAAGCTGGGCAAACATACTCGGGTTGTAGTGCTTAGATATAACAGGTGAGGTTGTCAAACACACTGCTTAGGATGTAGTGCTTACATCAGGCACACTTCCATGGGTTGTTAAGGTGAGGTCGGCAAATATATCCAGGGTTGTAATAACCACATATCAAAGGTCAGATTGTCAAACCGATATTAACAATGATTGTAATATTCGTATAAAAACGTGAGTTGGTACCATGCTTACAGCCACGGTTGAAATTCTCTCTTTAATACTGTTGGGTGGTCGGACACACCTACCCGGGGTATGAAGTTTTCACAAATTTAAGAGGGTATTTTAGGGCCTGTTCGATTATTGTGAAACTGGTTATGATTTCTGAAAATGTTTTCTGCTGTTATAAACGAGTGTCCAGTTTCGGATACATGGTTTCAAAGTGAAACTAGTTTCTAGTTTTATAAACGAGTGGATGGTTTCACCATCAGGTTTTAAAATGGACTCAAAAAAATGTCTCTGCTACTGTATATGTGGAGCGAATTGAATGACAGCATGGCCGAAGGTAATATTTTTTGTCATTTTATAAATAATAAAGAGATGAGATGCTTTTGGAGGTAAATATTTGCGTATATGTAATTATACTGTTACAAGCAATTTATGTATACAAGTTACATAAAATAGTCATATTCAATAGACTGGGGTTTTAAATAAAATTTTCTCAGATGATTTTTATTATTATTTTGGTTACAGAAACTGCTGCTCTATTTTGCCACCAAGATCAGCTGAACTTCATTTCCGCCATATTTGTTTTGACAGAACGCGAAACCGAAACTGCGAAACCTGCCTCCGAGATGGTTTCGAAGTTTCAGAACCCAGTTTTAGGTTTCGACATAATCGAGTTCATGGTTTTCGAGAAACCAAAACCGGTTTACCATAATCGAATAGGTCCTAAGATTATTGTATCGATATATAATTCATTTGAGAACCGAGGATGTTGACGGAAGTGCTTTTCAAAACGGATTGCGAATGAAAGATGTGTTTTGTTTGTAAAAAATGTTAGGACTTTTCTTGTGTTTTTCACTTGTTACTAGGATTTCGGTCCGGTGAGATGCCTATATGTTTTCGTTAGCGTAACAGAACCATGTCATCTAAAAAACAGACAAATACCTTTATGACTGTTCATGGTTCTACCGAAGCACATTTGCATGTATTCATGTGGCCACCATCTGGTCATTTACCAACGGATTCGTGGGTTCTTTTAAGTGCACAGGGTTGTGTACTGTACACTAGGGGTTGTGACAACACTGAAAGAGTCTGCACACAAAGTTGACTTAAAGGTTTTTACACCCGGTCACAGGTGGGCTCGATCCCTACACCCCAAGCTCGCTGGATCACTAGCCTGGCGCTTCAGCCAGCTCGCCCACCACGCCCCATAAAGCGGCATCAAACAACACTCACTCACTGTACTTCAACGAATGAAGAAATGACTCACAAGAAGGTGACCCGGATGTAACGGTAGGAGTTACCCCGCCTGTGACGCCAGGGCAGAGTCTGGCGTTGCAGTCGTTCTGTGGGCAGCACTGGTAGCACTTCTCTGGAGGAGGAACAACTACGTCATTCTCATCCCCAAGTTCAAGGTCGTCTGTCTTTCGTTTCCCGATAAGTATCTTGGCACTTATGAACAAGTCACATCTCTGAAATTTTAAAGTAATGGACTCGATAGACGAAACGTCATTTTTTTAAAAGAAAGGTCAAGGTGATCGATCTCTCCTTCTCGGTTAATGCAGCGTTTAATGGACAATTCACATCACATGAACGAAACATATACTTTAAGACAATTTGACATGATTATTTGGATCATATAAATATGAAAATAGAAATAGGAATGAGTGGGATATGTATCTATCTTTGTTTGCTGTTTAATGCCGCACTCAGCAATGTTCCAGCTACTTGGCGGCGGTCTGCAAATAATCAAGTCTGGACCACACAATCCAGTGATCAACAGCTTCAGCATTGAACAACGCAATTGGGATACAGTGACATGTGTCAAAATCCTGTCCCGTTGGTCGCCTCTTACGACAAGCATGGGTTGGTAAAGGCCATTTCTAACCCGGATCTTCACGAGTCGGATCTATCTATACAAGTTCACTCTTTTCACACCAAACTGTCGCACTATCATGTAACTGAAATACAGACAGAAGACAGGCCGACAGAAATACTGTTCACAGCGAGGAGAGGAGGCTAGCCTAGTAACGCCGAAGGCCCGCTGATTTTCCGTGTCCCCCGCAGTGATATTGCTGGAATATTGCTAAAAGCGGCGTAAAACTAAACTCACTCACATCTAATCTCACTATAGGATTACCGTTTTATCCTCACAGCCCATGTCGAACGCTCTTTCTCCGTTCCGGTCGATGTACTCCCTGGTGAAACATATCTGTAAGGAGACAACTATACCACTGAATAATGCTTTTATATGTCACGTATGGAGACAGTTAGGTAGCACAGCGGTTACTGCGTCTAGCTCGTCCACCTGAATTAAAGGGTTCGTCTATCCTCGTGGTTACATAATGTGTACGATGCCATAAGTAGTTTTGTAATTTACCAGCTATATGGCGGCAGTTTGTAAATAATCAACTCGGGGCCAGACAATCCAGTGATCAACAGCATGAGCATCGATCTACGAAGTTGGATACGATGACATGTGTCATCCTGATTAGCCAGTCTGACCACCCGATCCTCTTACAAGTATGGTTACCGAGGACCAGTTCTAATCTTCTCTAATAGAAAGTACACACCTGGTGTTTTGAGACTATTAAAAGAACGTAAATATTTTGCTAGCAATGTTGTAATTGGGTACGATATCTGGGGTGTTATTGCAACACGTACACAATGTTTGCGAGCGAGCGAGCGAGCGAGCGAGCGAGCGAGCGAGCGAGCGAGCGAGCGAGCGAGCGAGCGAGCGAGCGAGCGAGCGAGCGAGCGAGCGAGCGAGCGAGCGAGCGAGCGACCGAGATGGCCGTCGTCCATGGCGTGCACTCCGCGAGAAACGCCTTTTCCCTTCGCCAGACTTGTGTCCCATGCCTCATGTGATCAGTGGTTACCTGCGATCGTCCACAAAGCGCCCAATTGTCACAGTCCGCTGGAGATCTTGCGTCCGCACACTCCAAACACCGAACGGTTCCTGAACATGAATATATAGAAACCTGAACTACTGTAACTGGGTAGTGACTTAGGAGATAAACATCATGTGTTGACCAATTTCCGAGTGTTATTGAGTATTTGAAGCACGGGAATATTTCATTTGAAACCTCCGGCGTCAAATATTCCCGTGCTTCAAATACTCAATAACACCCGGAAATTGGCCATCACATGATGTTTATCGACATTGTAAACACAAAAGTAAACCAAATGATCCACACGCGTTTTTGTGTCTGCACTCATTGACATCGAGTACGGGTACAGCAGTGAAATGTCATCAACCGGCCGTTTCGGCTGTCTCCCATGGTAGCATCTTGAACTGCTCATTTGTGACGTCATTCCGACTTTACGTAACAATATGATTTGAATGACGTCATCACAGCTGACGACGTAACAATACAATGGTGTGAGCGATGTTTGTATGTATTAATACGCAGCGAATTTCCGGGAATCGAATACCATTTGATCCACTCCGACACAGCGATGACTTAACATAACATCACTGCCACAGGCTAATTTGCATATCACGTGACCGGACTTTTCTCTTGTTTGTAATCAAACGCGCATATTCATAATAAGAAGAGACTGGTCTTAGGCAAGCTTTTCGGCGCTCTCTTCATAATGTTTTACATTGTCACATATATATTCTTCCACAACTGCGACAGTTAGGTCTAGGACAGTACATATTTAGACATGAAACTGGCTGCATCGTTTGCTCTCCGTCAGCTTCGATGACAGCACGTGGAGCCGTACAACCTCTGTAAACAAAGGATCGCTACGCAAATCGAAATAGTGTTACATGTTTTAGGATATTTTCTCAATGAAACTAAACCATTCTATCAAAGATGTTTAATTAGTTGTGTAGACTCGTCAAAAATAAAAGATTTGAGAAATATGTAAATTTTATTGAATGGACGGTGCAAAATGTGACGAATCGTCACATTTTTCTGGCCTGTGGCAGAGATACTATGCTGGCTTGCCGCATGGAACTCTGGGTAGGAGAGTGCATTTGATCATGTTTATCAACCAATCAGATTAAAGAACACAGTGGCTTTGGTTTACAATGGTATATAAAGAACGTCCAAACACAGGCCATGGGTGTGAGGTTTTATCTGCATAGGTAGCAAGAGAGGTAACGACACCCAGCCATACGCAAAACAATAACATAAGATAACATGCTAAAAACATGATACATCTTTCACACACAAGTACATATTCGCATTCACATATATAAATATCTTTGTCAATGAGGCATAAAACGATTGTCTGGATTACATAAATAATTCATCAAGGGCGATAACTCAATGTATGTGTACAATACATGAGGTACACAATGAACATGGGTCATTGTTATAAATTACATTAAATGTTCTCAATACAATAATCATTTACCACTTTATGGTACCCATGATACGAATTGCAATCAGTGGTACATATCTGTCATACTACATTAAACAAATACTGATTTAGACAATAAAAGCCGACATTGATGTGATGATGGTGATGATGATGATGATGATGATGATGATGATGATGATGATGATGATGATGATGATGATGATGATGATGGTGATGGTGATGATGAGGGATATGTGGAGGATAATGATAGTGTTATTAATGATGATGATGTTATAGCCTACCCATAAGGTTTTGTCCTTGGGACGCAGTTAGGCCAACTAACAACAGGGACAGCCAGGCTCCCCTCCACAACATCTGCAACAGAGTACATAGTACGTCATCCCTAGAAGCTCCCTACAACAGCGCACAGAGTACGTCATCACTAGAAACTCTCTACAACAGCGCACAGAGTACGTCATCACTAGGATCTCCCTACAACAACGCACAGAGTACGTCATCACTAGGAACTCCCTACAACAGCGCACAGAGTACGTCATCACTAGAAACTCCCTACAACAGGGCACGGAGTACGTCATCACTAGAAACTCTCTACAGCAGCGCACAGAGTACGTCATCACTAGAAACTCTCTGCAACAGAGCACAGAGTACGTCATCACTAGACATTAACAACAGCATGTAATTGATAATAAGTGACACATATTTGGATGTAGGTACTAAGTGTTGTCCCCTAAATAGTGAAAACAGTAAAAAAAAAAACAAGCTGATAGAGAGATAACAGTTAAAGTATATAGCTTGAATACCCGTGAAGGTCCGGGTTAGAATATTGATCTTCAGTAACCCGTGCTTGACTAACGCGATCGGGTGGTCAGGCTCGCTGACTTGGTTGACACATGTCATCGGTTCCCACTTGGGCAGATCGATGCTCATGCTGTTGATCACTGGATTGTCTCGTCCAGACTCAATTATTTACAGACCGCCGCCATATAGCTGGAATATTGCTGAGCGTGGCATAAAATTAAACTCACTCACTCACTCACTATAGCTTGAATAGTTCCTAGAAGGTTCATGGTATGCAGTGCCCTAGATCTCTGATGATCTCTGATGATCTCAGTAAAGTATAGATTCTCGTACTTTCGATGGGTGGAGTCCCATCCGGGATTCGAACCCACGCCCTCAGAGTCAAGCACGTAATCGCCAGCACACAAAGTCAGACGTTTAACCCACTTAACCACTTTCTAAATGGCATTGTATATTCATAGTTTGGTACGTTGAAGTACTGAAAAAGTGTAATCCAAACTATAACGTGTTACATTTGACCGCTTTCTAAATAACATTGTATATTCGTATGTATATATACTTCTCATGACTTGAGTGCAATCACTTTTAGCTTTGTAGTGGTATATGAATCTACACTGAAGCGTCGTTCTTTGCAAGAGGTGAGGTGAGGTGAAATTGGGTTTTACGTCGTGCTTGAGAATATTTCGCTCATATGACGACGTGCATGCGTGTGTATGTGTATATTCGGCTGCTTGTACGAGCCCAGACTTAAGCTGGTTTTATAGTGCTAGACCCACTGAGATACCATGCCGCAGTGAAGCATGAATACCCCACTCAGACACATTATACTGACTCCGAGCCGACCAGTCCGAGCCGATCAGTCCTTGTTGTACCCATTAATGCCGAGCGCCAGGCAGGGACCAACAAGTACCATATTTTAACGTCTTTTGGTATGACGCGGTCGGGGATCGAACCCGCGACCTTCCGCTCTCCGGGCGGACGCTCTAACCACTACACCACGGAGGCGGTTTTCTTTGCATGAAACAAGAGTTGTCACCCATAAAGTCTAATGCCCCAGTTTCTCGAAACAAACTTAAGTCTAAGTTTTGACTTAAGTTCGAGTTTTTACTCAAATAGAGAAAATGCATGTAGCAGAATGAACTGAAATTGATATTAAACTCAAACATACTAGACAATTTGAGTTTGGTGGGTGGATTACTTAGGTTGTTTGGGCTGTTATATTTTAAAAATGCAGTTGAATTTAAAATTCAGCTGTTTCAAATTGTCAAACTCAGTTTGAAATTTGAGTAAAACATAAGGTTGTTTCGAAAATCGGGGCCTGGACAGAAGAAACGCTTACAGGCATTGTTATTAATCTACAGGACCTAGCACTGCACACTGTCTATCGTGTTGACACAGAAACCTGGCTTCATGGCGTCTGTCCTACATTAGACCGATCAAATCCAATCGTCTCTTAGATAATGTTCAGAATACGCCTATATCTGGCAAGTGTGTACATAATTCGGTGTGATTTATAAGTTCCGAAGACATTATTTCTGGTGTTAATTATGTATTTTTAACACTTACCGATTTGTTCATAATGACAGTTGGCGTGGGAGAGTGTCAGATGGTTATCGGAAGTGTACTCTGTTGTGTTTACAAGGGTGTCTAGTTTCAATGTAGTCCACACTAACGTCTTCAGGTTAAAGAAACAAGGAAACCCTCCAATCCTCATGGTTTGACCATTAAGTCAGTAAATGGCGGCATGTTGATTTCCTGAAGTACAGGATCGCAAATATGATTAATCATTTGTCATACTCTGTTCTTCATACGATCAGCCCATTTCTGGTGTCCCCCGCCCGTGATATTGCTAAAATATTGCTAAAAGCGGCTTAAAACCAAACTCACTCTTCATACGATCAGTCATTCGTCATACGCTGTTCTTCATACGATCAGCCCATTTCTGGTGTCCCCCGCCGTGATATTGCTGGACTATTGCTAAAAGCGGCTTAAAACCGAACTCACTCACTCACTCTTCATACGATCAGTCATTCGTCATACTCCGTTCTTCATACGATCGGGCGGTGGGGTAGCCTAGTGGTTAAAGCGTCCGCTCGTCACCTCGAAAGGCCAGGTTCCATTCCCCACATGGGTACAATGTGTGAAGCCCATTTCTGATGTCCCCGCCGTGATATAGCTCGAATATTGCTAAAAGCGGCGTAAAACTAAACTCACTCAGTCTTTATACGATCAGCCATTTTCCATACTCCGTTCTTCATACCATCAATCACCGTCTTTCTCACGTATTGTACCCATGTGGTGAACTGAACCCGGGTTTGGGGTGTGACAAGAGAATACTGTAACCACCATACTTCCCCACCGCCCACCACTTTGGTGAAACACAGGGGTTTAACGCTGACAAACCACAGATCTTTGAGGGGATAACGCTCTGTGCACGTCGTGACCTCGCCGCGATTTCTCGAAACAAACTTAAGTCTGAGTTTTGAGAAAACCCATTTCCCATGTTGAACTGAAATCGATAATAAATATTAAACTCAAACATTGTAGACAATTTGAGTTTGGTGAATACTTAAGTTGTTTGGGCTTTTTTATTTTAAAAATGCAGCTGAGTTAAAAATTCAGCTGTTTCAAATTGTCAAACTCAGTTTGAAATTTGAGTAAAAACTTAAGTTTGTTTCGAGAAATCGGGGCCTGGGTCTTGTTTCACAAAGCGATCGTAGCGCTACGATCGCTTTGTGAAACGGGCCCCTGGTGACTGTTTACGACATTTTATTATAACCAGTCGGTCCCCATAATGTCAGTGTATGAGAAGCACTTGAGACTAATCCTACTCCAGAATCCTCCAGTGGATGAGTAATGGACGGATGTTCCACTGCCCCGTGTAGTAATCTGACTGCAGTATAACGGGGAGGTTGTAATCTGACTGCAGTATAACGGGGAGGTTGTGGATGCGCGTCATGCACAATGTTAAATCAACATAATGTTTTATTGTCGCAGCTTTCTAAAACGATTCGGCTTAATTTCTTTCTACCACGATTTGGAAATTTCAAAATGTATAAAAGCAAAGGAAAAACTCTGGACACAAATATTCATTTGCTGGTCTATCCTTATAAGTGCCACATGGTTCATGACCTGTGAAGATCCGGGTTAGTGAATGAGTTTAGTTTTACGCCGCACTCAGCAATATTCCAGCTATATGGCTGCGGTCTGTAAATAATCGAGTCTGGACCAGACAATCCAGTAATCAACAGCATGAGCATCGATCTGCGCAACTGAGCCTCGCCACCCGATCCCGTTAGTCGCCTCGTACGAAAAGCATGGGTTACTGAAGGTTTATTCTAACCCGGACTTTCAGGGGTTCTGGGTTAGAATTAGTCCTCAACACCCCATATTTGTCGTTAGACGTGACATACTGAATCCTCCAGTGGATGAGTGATGGAGGATGTATGCTGTCACCCCTTGTAGTAACTGGAATATTACGGGGATGCTATGGAAGGGCACCACAATGTTAAATCGACACATCATGTTTTGTTGTCACAGCTTTCTAAAACGACTCGCCTTCTTTCTTTTCCACAAATACAAATTTGTATAAATACAGAACACAAATATTCGTTTGATGGTCCATCCATTTAAGTGCCACATGGTTCATGCCCTGTGAAGATCCAAGTTAGAATATTGGTCTTCAGCAAACCAACCTTGTCGTAAGAGGCGACTAAGGGGATCGGGTGGTCAGACTCGCTGACTTGGTTGACACATCTCATTGTATCCCGATTGCGTAGATCGATGTTCATGATGTGGATCACTGGGTCGTCTGATTCAGATTCGATTATTTACAGACCGGCACCATACAGCTGGAATATTGCTGAATGTAGAGTTGACCAACAACCAAACAAGCACAGCGTTCAGGCTCATATATTGAAACATCCACATCATAACAATCGCGCAGCCATAATCATCTACAGCCGGAACTAGCAGTTTTAGTTTGTTCTGAGATACAGCAATCAAATATACTATGTGAATGCCTCACTCACTCTCACCGACATCATCATATCGGAGTATGTGGTTTGCCTTTTACGACCTAGTTCTGTCACTGATGAAACCGGACCAAGGGGTTGACAGACAAAAGCCCTGCAGGACCGAAGCCCAATAGACAAAAGCCCCTCGGACAAAAGCCCTTTGGGGCAAAAGCCCCATAGTAAAAATAACTCCTCCCCTGTTTCCACCACCAGTGTGGAATGTGCACCAGGCAGGGGGCGGTGGGGTAGCCTAGTGGTTAAAGCGTTGGCTCGTCACGCCGAAGACCCGGGTTCGAATCCCCACATGGGTACAATGTGTGAAGCCCATTTCTGGTGTCCCTTGCCGTGATGTTGCTGGAATATTGCTAAAAGCGGCGTAAAAACAAACTCAGTCAGTCAGTCAGTCACCAGGCAGCTATGGACGGGGGAAGCAAGACAAATAACATTTGTGAATCCTGGAATAGTGTAATACAAGGATTTCAACGTGACTAGGCTCTGGTTGACACTCGGAGTCTCCAGTTTGCCAGGGGTGTGTCAGAAATATGTTTTCAAATGCTCTGATTGGATAGGGCTATGTTGATATTTTATATTAGAATGTAAATAAATCTCGTTAAATCTGAATTGTTTTCGTATATATTATCATATTGGGCTTTCGTCTGAGGCTTATGTCAAAAGGGCTTTTGTCCGAGGGGCTTTTGTCTGTGGGGCTTCTGTCCTGCGGGGCTTTTCTCAGGCAATCGACCAAGACAACCCGTGACAGCATGAGTACTTGCGGACACCATGACACACAAGGGGCAAGATCACAAGATGTCGTGGTCTTGTGGGTAGAGCGTCTGCCAACCAAAAGGTCGGGAGATCTATTCCCGATTACGTCAATAGATGGTACTTGATGTTACCCTGCCTGGCTTTCTGCATGGGTACATATTCGAATGAAACCCCTGGGAGGGTTTGGGCATATTCGGGGACATATTCGAATTCGAAACCCCAGGAAGGGTTTGACACATATTCCAGTCCGAAACCCCAGGGAGGGTTTGGGAAATCGAAACCCCAGGGAGGGTTTGACACATATTCGAATCCGAAACCCCAGGGAGGGTTTGGGACATATTCAAATCCGAAACCCCAGGGAGGGTTTGGGACATATTCCAATCCGAAACCCCAGGGAGGGTTTGGGGCATATTCCAATCCGGAACCCCAGGGAGGGTTTGACACATATTGGAATCCGAAAACCCAGGGAGGGTTTGACACATATTCCAATCCGGAATCCCCACAAGGGTACAATGTGTGAAGCCCATTTCTGGTGTCCCCCGCCGTGATGTTGCTGGAATATTGCTAAAAGCGGCGTAAAACCAAACTCAGTCAGTCAGCCGAATCCGGAATCCCTGGAAATGTTTAGGACATATTCTGATCCGGGCTTCATATTTTTTTCACGAACGAAAACAACAAGAATGACACATGGACAACGGAATGTCTTTATTGAACTTAAAGTCAGATTAAAAATTATTAATAAATATCATGTTCCTTTTATGGAGTTATCTGACCTCGTCATGAATAGTGCAGAGGAGACTTAAATGAGTATGAAAAATTAAACATGTCAGCTGACACAAAAAACGTTTTCAAAGTGAACACCAATATGTTATAGCATGTATTATGAAATAGGGGCATATTGCGTTGATAAGTCGTTTTCGTAAAATCTCATTTAGAGAGATTTTACCAACAAACAAAAGTGCAAAATACACAATGTAAAAAAATTCAGATTGTACATTGTTTCGTGTGCCTTGAAACAAATGTGGCTGCCTTTTAGAGTCTTGTTTCTCACGGGGAATCCTGTGTTCGAATCCCACATTCCAACTGATTGTGATTCTACTTTTTCGGCACCATATTCGTGGGTTTCGGGGTAAGGTGTGAGAGCCCCGGTACTTCAGGTGGTCCTAAAACTGTAAACTACACTCTGACACAACCCTGTTCAAAGCTGTTTGGCCTCACTCACTCACAGATTGAATCAATCACATTTCCTTATGTTTTAGTCCCTGTACTCTTTGAGTGAGTGAGTTGCGTTTTACGCAGGTTTTAGCAATATTCCAGCAATATCACGGCGGGGGACACCAGAAATGGGCTTCACACATTGTACCCATGTGGGGAATCGAACCCGGGTCGGTGTGACGAACGAACGCTTTAACCACTAGGCTACCCCACCGCCCCGAGTCCCTATACTGGTAGTGCTCTCAATCAGAGCTCTTTAAACATACAGTGAAATACCGTTGTGTCGAAGTTGCAGAGACCTCTGTAATTTCTTCGAGTTATCAAAGGTTCGACACAACCAAAAATTTGAATAAATATGTGATACGAAGGGACCCAGCTCTTACTTCGATACAACCGTACTTTGGACACATCCATGTTCGACACAACTGTGTATAATTAGTTTTGTTTTCGGAAGACACTATACACACTAATTGCACGATAGGGCTCAGCTTCAGAACACGGGGTTGTCACTTGCGTCCATTTTCAGTCCACTTCGGGGTCCATGACTTGATTCCGTACCATGCCAAATACCAATTCCCTCAAAACAGGAGGAGTCACGTCAGCAAAGTTCATCCCATCGAGTGAAGCGCCACCTATGAGCAGGGCACTATATACAATAGACGAACACGTGACTTCCGGGTCCAGCAGGAGACCAAAGAGCGTGTTTTTCGTCCACACTTTCACAGCAGCATCGTTAGGGAGATGTGTTTTGTAAAATAGTTTCAGAGTCAGATTTGGGTTACACCCTACTCGCTTGACATCATCGTTGTAACTTTCGCTTTTTGTGAAAACACCATCCATCCAATAGCCACCTACGTATGTCCCATCATGCAGTGCGAGAGTCACGTGACCGTCAGCACTCGTGTCCCCACGCGGCATCCAGAATCTCAACACGAAGAACGGATCCGTCAGGCGGGTGATGTCCACGGCGTCCCAAGACATGGACCTGAAAAGAACATTTGAAAATATTTTGAAATTTTCATTTTTGAAATTATATTTTTATTGTAACATCCTCGCTTATTCATCGTTTCATTTCCCCAGTTGGAAAATACCGGAAGTGACGTCATCAGCTCCATCAGTCATGTTACAAACTGCGCAGCGGGTGCTGCGTCCTTCAAGGTCGTTGGCGGTTACAACATCAAACGTCATACGTAAAGTTTAAAGAGTTCCCAATTCGTCCAAGGGCGGTGGGGTAGCCTAGTGGTTAAGCCTCCGCTCGTCACGCCGAGAACCCGGGTTCGATTTCCCACATAGGTACAATGTGTGAGGCCCATCAATACGTCCATTATTATCTTACAAGTATTACCAGAAACCTCTCTTAACCCTTTCGATAATTATAGGTTATTTCCGAGTGTCTCTTTTTAAGAGTAAATAAGTAGTGAGTAAGTATATTTTCTCGCCGCTTTTAGCAATACACCAGTGCATGCCCCAGTAAATAATTAAGCTTATTTGAAGGTTAATGTGTCAGGAAGTGAATTATGTTGCATTTGTCATTTTGTTATCGTTGTTTTTGGAGTTGTTGTAGTTGTTGTTGTTGTTGTTGTTGTTTTTCAGAACCAGTTACTTTGATCTTGGATTGAGTTTCGTGGCTCGATCGTAGCGCCACAATTGAAGTCTCAATATATAACCATCATATTGACCAATCATATTCCACCTCTCATTTCGCTAGTAATTGCTTAAAAAAACAGCCAAGACTATGTTATTGATAATTATGATCTCTGTTGCAATAAAACGGCTCTTACTTCGCGGAGTGCATTTGATCTCTTGTTCAGCTTGATTATAGATTTTAAAGTTTATCTGTCGTCGCCCAACTGACGATTCAAGTGTTCTGCAAATCCAACGATCTGCACAGGGGTTGCCATGTTGTTGTTCATATGTTTTGGGGTCTTTTTATTGGACTATGCATAGACCCGTTAATCCAGACAAAATATATCTCAATAATTCCATCCAAGCTGAAGAGCGGACTCTGGTCTCTTACGCCCAGTTATCTCCCTTGAATCGGGAATACGGTTATTTAAGTATTTTAAGTCAGCCGAAACTAACGTTTTAACTGTAAGGGGTAGTGAATCCCATTTCCCGTGCCTAGTCACAGTCATCAAGAGAGGGAGGGTAAGGTTGAAAATCAACTTATAAACGGACAGACAAATCTAAAGCAAAACACGTTCAATATTAACCTTAGGAAGCGATCGTAAAATATCTCTTGTCGGCGTACATATTCTTGAAAAGCGATTCCTTGCATCCTGTTTAGTGGAGAGTGATCGTAACGTATACCCTGGAGGTTATCGAGGATGGATTCCTTGTGGCAATATTATTTGTCAGCGTCTCCGTCGAAGAATGAGGACTATTTTTATGGATATACAACTTCTTTATTCTATATAGGCGACGTTTCGACATAGATTCTAATGTCGTTGTCAAGCAAGTGGTACATGGAAAGTATTTGGGGTGATTATATACATGAGATGTTGTGTAACAGATGAGGGGTGAGGCGAAAATGAGTTGTTTATACAATAGAACAGGTTTCTAGTGGTTCGCACACTGGGCTACAGATAACAAGGTTGCAAGTTCGATCCAAGCGAAATATGAAGAGTGAGTGAGTGAGTTTAGTTTTTCGCCGCACTCAGCAATATTCCAGCTATATGAAGGCGGTCTGTAAATAATCGAGTTTGGACCAGACAATCCAGTGATCAACATCATGAGCATGGATCTACGTAACTGGGATACGATGACATGTGTCAACCAAGTCAGGGAGCCTGACCACCCGATCCCGTTAGTCGCCTCTTACGACAAGCCTCTGCTGCTGAAGACCAATTCTAACCCGGATCTTCATGGGTGTGCTATAACCTTGAACACATTACCCTTTTCATCCCCCACCTTACACCCATTCCGTTTCTAGAATGACCATCAACAACCAAAGAAGTTTAGAAGTAATAGAATTCATGAACGACAGCGTATTTAGACGAGGCCATATGTAATTCAGTCCCTCGTCGAATATATGTTTAAAGAATCCTTAATTCAAAATGTGAATCAAACAGTGGAAGTAATACTGTCGATTAGAAACTGCTGTTGTCAAGGATGACAAATGGGGTGATTATCTTACCTCTGTCCCGTAAATGTTGACATATTTCTCGACAACCTCCCTTTGTCGTTATCCTAGCGAAGCGTTTAATCTTCCTCCCTACCGTCCATGGATAAATATCAATATGGCGTCTTCCCGTATACGATGGGCGACATGTGGTTGAAATGCATTCAATTTGGGGATATTGGAATTCGTTTAAGTATTTAAATCACGACACAAAGACCGGGTGTAGCTGAATATCTTATTAAGACTTGGGACAGATGTAAGATGAATTGTTGAAAATGGCGACAATAAGTCTCGCGATATCTCAAGATGTCTCGTTTCGATTGTGGTAGTACGTATTGATATTCGTGACCAAATGTTACATTAAGTTACAAATACCGATCAATTGATATTTCTGTTTGACACTACAACTGGCTGGTCTTTATCGAACGTCGTTTTGAAAGTGTAACAGCCTGATCAAATCAAGGAAATATGAAGTAAAGGCATAGTTTCCTTAAAGGGAAATTTATGGATGTCAGTTTCCGAAACACAAGGAACACGATGTTTCCTGATACAGAAGCTGACAGCCATAAATTCACCCTTGTATGCGCATCGATTCTAAAATGCCATTCAAAGGCTTAAATATTTTTCTTTTTTAAAATATTTTTGAATGCGGCACTTTTAGCAGTTGCGTCAAAACACCCGACATTGATTTTATATATATTTCATCTATCCTTTTTCTTTAAGGAATTATCAATGTCATCCTGTAGAGAGTGAGTGAGTGAGTTTACTTTACGCCGCTTTTAGCAATATTCCAGCAATAACACGGCGGGGGGACACCAGAAATGGGCTTCAAACGTTCTACCCCTTTTGGGAATCGAACCCGGATCTTCGGCGTGACAAGCGAACCACTAGGCTACCCCACCGCCCCTCCTGCAGGAAGATACATAATAGGTCTTCGATTTAAAGACGTTATTATATCTCTCATGTTGGCTCTCGCTACTTTTAAGACCTGTTAAGAAAGAATATATCATTTGTTTTCAACAATAGTGCCTATAAGTACTAAAGAATTATCATATCGTTTCAGCAGTTTAAAACGGGTTTTAAAATCGACCCCAGTACATGGTGTAGTGGATAGAGTGTCTAAGAAGATAGCGGTTCGATTCTGAGTTCGAATCTTACGAATAAAAGTAAACGGTGGTACTTTTTGTTACCGTGCCTTGCGCCACTGCGACATTAAGCTGATACAAGAGGTGGTGGGGGTGTTGCAGGTCAATAGTCAGTGAAATGTGGGTCGTTTAGTCAGTAGTCATTGTTTTCTTGGCTAGGTCAGTGAAAAAATTGACTTGATTGGAGGGCAAACAATAAAATTGAATCTAATGAGTGACTGAGTGAGTTTAATTTTTACGCCGCACTCAGCAACATTCAAGCTATATGGCGGCGGTCTGTAAATAATCCAGTCTGAACAAGACAATCCAGTGATCAACATAATGAGCATCGATCTACGCAATTGGGAATCGATGACATGTGTCAACCAAGTCAGCGAGCCTGACCACCCGATCCCGTTAGTCGCCTCTTACGACAAGCATGGGTTGCTGAAGATCAATATTCTAACCCGGACTTTCACGGGTAAAATTTGAATCTAAATGTGAAATATGCGCTTAGCAGTTATTGGTTGACATTTTACGGTAACCATTTATGATAAAAATTTGACTCATCTTATGTTTACGATATATTTGTTTTTATTTGTTTTACTCTACAAAATATACCCTCTCAGGGCCCACATGGAGAAGTACTGGTAGGCTATTGTAGTACTGATTTGTTTGGTTTGTTTGTTTCGAGCGGTGAGAATCCGGGGTTCTCACATCTGCTTCCGAATTGACTAGGAGTGGGTATTGCAGAGAATTTTCATATTGCGATATATTGCGACGCGAAAGCATGTATTGCGATTTGTATTGCAATATATTGCATGAAGTATTTTTAAACAAAAAAACTACTTATAATCGAGTTACTTCTTGATTTATAGAGCAAAAACACAACAAAATCACTAGGCTTGATTAAGCTTTAATAACAACTTTTAATCATGATAAAATAAAAATGTGACTAATATTTGGCACAAATGAAACAAGGACATATCCGAACATTTCCGAGTGTTACGAAGTTTTCCGAATGCAAGTCAAAATACCGGTTTTCGATCAGCGTATCGCAATACGTATCGTTTTCATGTCTGAACCGGTAAATACCGGTAAAACGGTTATATTGCGCAGCCCTAAAATTAACCAGGTTTCACAGTCTTAGTAATATTGTTGGTAACTCTATGTACAAAACAAACCGCATGCATTTATCCCGATATCATAAAGCCGTGTTTAAATAAGGTCTAACAGGCAATTAGACAGGGGACGCAATGTCTCTCCCCTTCAAATCTGTGCAAATCACCAATGGATAATGGCGATATACTTCGTCCAATATTTCATATTTCTTTGTTTTAATTTTATTTTATCAAACTTAAATATCTAAGCATATGAGATTTATATACTATTCACACTTTGCTAAGGATCAAATCATTGATCCAACAGAAAACTACGATGTGGGGTCACATTTGGTTTAAATATCTAAGCTTATTGTAAGCATGGATCCTAGGTTTCAGTATGTCACTGCAGCTTGTGGATCCCATACCTGCTATTGACAGGTGTTGTGTACTTGTTAATGACCCGTGCCATGATTTGCAAAATGGTTTATTGGTACCATGAAAACCATTTTTATGGTTACTCATGTATCAAGTGCATATGGTTAGCTTGAAGTGGCTGTTTTCCTAAAGATGTGTTACCATATCATTATTTGACTAGTTTTAAATGGATACCTTTTCAAATTGTAAATCTACGTTTAAGTAAAGTTGCGTATTTTTGTGATCCTTAGCAAAGTGTGAGTAGTATATTATAATCCAGTAAACGATAAATTGGAGATACACGATGAAACAGTAACTATAGATGATTTTTAATTTCATTATAAATTTTGAATTGTATTTTATCAAATTGAAATATCTAAGCATATAACATTTATATTATAACCCAGTGAACGATAAATTGGAGATACACAATGAAACAATAAATGAAGATAATTTTAAATTGGATTATAACTTTCTGATATTCTTATTTCATAAACGAAATCTGGATTAGTAAACAAGCAAAACATTGCTTATATGTACACCGCTCCAGACAAAATCATATTACAGTTGGTACTTTTAGATAAGCATGTTTATGGTGATTAAATATATATATATTAAGGGCACTATATATAAGGGCAAATCCGACCTTTGGGCGACAGTACCACACACACACACACACACACACACACACACACATATATATATATATATATATATATACATACATATTTGCACAATATATAAATATCATCTGTAACCGTAAGCTCGAATCTGTGGTGTCCTTAACGGTAAACGCCCTATCTCAATTTCAACATTTCATCCAAAAGTATTCCGCGGAATAATTATTATAGCTGCTATTCAAATACCTTTTTTTAACAATAAAATCGTGGCACTTCCTCACTGTACGAAGAGTTACGACATAAAACTGTTTTCAGGTCAGAACCATGGATATGAAAATACATATTGTTACAAATATTTGCAAAGTTTCGGCATGTAAATTGAAAAGGTAAGGCTTCTTCGAAATAATACCCCCAGTCTGCTCGACCGCCTCCGTGGTGTAGTGGTTAGAGCGTCCGCTCGGAGATCGGAAGGTCGCGGGTTCGATCCCCGACCGCGTCATACCAAAAGACGTTAAAATATGGTACTTGTTGGTCCCTGCCTGGCGCTCGGCATTAATGGGTACAAGGACTGGTCGGCTCGGAGTCAGTATAATGTGTCTGAGTGGGGTATTCATGCTTCACTGCGGTATGGTATCTCAGTGGGCTAGCACTATAAAACCAGCTTAAGTCTGGGCTAGTACAAGCAGCCGCACATACACATACACACGCATGCACGTCGTCATATGAGCGAAATATTCTCAAGCACGACATTAAACCCAATTTCACCTCACCTCACCCTCGCCTCACCTCACCCAGTCTGCTCTGTCTTATACATGTCGATTAAATTTATCAGCGTTAATTCGCTACAATTATTTTTAATTAGTAACAAATACTTGCCTCCCAAGTCCAGTCTTGTAGATACATGACGATGTTTGCAGGAGATGCATAGTGTCCTAAAACTAGATCAGAAAGTCGCTCCTCAGCGTATCAAGACGAAAGCAAAAAAGAAAAGTTAAATTTGAAAAACAATATACGGTCATATTGATATCACGCGGAAATGCCATTGGCCGATTCCGCTTCCCCGATGTTTCTTCAAATCTGAGTCTGCTTGAGTTGAGACAAATAATCGTTGAGAAACAAATGTTGCAGTTATTGTTTGATTTCTCAACGATTTTCTCTCAGCGACATGTCGTATGTTGAGAGAAGACACGTTTTGGCTCTCTGATGTTTGGTCGAGTAGTGTGTATTGATGTGGGAACAGGGGACTGCAGATGACACGGGAGGGAGTGGGGGATGTTGTACCTTGGGGGATGGGGGAAGGGTTTTACAATCGTGCCATCTTTACGACATTATGCCGGAAGCAGTCTCCATTCCAGAATGAATCATAGATTATTGAAAGCAATCATAGATGCGTTTGTTACCTCGTCTCTATTGTGTTAACGAATGCATTGAAATAACTTTGACAATGCATGCGTGCTTATTCATAATGTTGCTTTAAATTAAATGTTCAAAATCCGAGGCATATATGTCACCCTCGTTATATGTGTGTTCCGTATTCATATACAAACTTTGTTGAAACACGTGTGCCCAATTCAAAATCATTGCTGTTTAGTAAATGTACACAATCCGAGATAAAACGTATTTGTTTTCTCGTTTTTGGGGTGTTCCGAATGCACTGAAGACACTTTGGAAATACACATCTGTCCCCAATTCAAACTCATTGCTGTGTAAATGTTCACGCCGAGGACCCGGGTTCGAATCCCAACATGGGTACAATGTGTGAAGCCCATTTCTGGTGTCCCCGCCATGATGTTGCTGGAATATTGCTAAAAGCGGCGTAAAACCAAAACTCAGTCAGTCAGTCAGTCAGTGTAAATGTACAAATTCGAAACATGTTTGCTTCCTCCTTTATTATAATATTGGTGTG